AAGGTTTATGTCTATATCTCAAATTTGATTTTATATCTATATCTCAAATTTGATACAATAAAGAATCAATCAACTATGCCAGGCCTATGTATTTCAATAAAAATGGGAAATCAGGAAAAAAATAAAAAAAAAATAAATAAATAAATAAATATTACAACCAATAAGCACACACCTGACGGCATTGTCCATTGCAATTGCCAGAGGACGACATGCATGGAGGTGTGCCACATTAGGCACTATCTTCTCTGCAAGATCTCTGGAGAGGTCACAAGACTCAGGTGTTCTATAGTCATTGATGAATCTCTTCAGAGCAGCTAATGTTGCAATTACCCGTGCAGTTGACCCATCCACAACACGGTCCTGTGTAAATTTCATATGACAACAAGCTAGCATGATAAATAAATTTGCAATAGTTCAATCTCTCACATATACTTTGATCAACATAAGACAGTACAGTAGTCAATGGGTTAGATTTAACATGTACACTACATAAAAACATTTTCCACTTCCCTCCAAAATCCCTGTTGTAACTCTTAATAAGAGGAAACCTTGTGAGCTCTACCTATCATATTACCGTAATAGAAACAGGACAACAGCTCAGTGTAGTTTACTGGCATAATCCTACCTTCATCTTTTGACCGAGAGTCCTTATAGCAGGGTGGATGGAATCACTGTTGACAGGTAGTGATGGTGGATGCGACGTGTAAGGGGTGAGGTGGCCTAGCAGTGGGATTCTCCGCGAGCTGTCCTTCTCCACACTCTTCTTGTCCCTAAAGCGCCTCCCATCAGCAAACTTTTTGGTTTGTGGTGCTTTTTTAGCTTCCTCACGTATGATCTTTTGAGACTGAGGCTGGCTCTTTTTCTGCTTCTCTGCTTCCTGCTGTGCTTTTGCTAATGCTTTAGCCTGCCTCTGGGCTTCCTGCTTCTCACGTCTTTCCCGCTTCAGGTCTGCTTTTGACTTGCCACTGCCATCTTCAACCCCTTCTTTCTGCTGCGGCTCCTGCCCCTGCTTACACTGCTGCGGAGGTGCTGCTTTCTCCTCTGCTGGCTTGCTCTGAGCCTTAGCTTCCTTCTGGTTTTGAGGAGGTGGCTTTTTGTTTTCCTTTGTGCTCTCATCTGTACCACCTTCCTTGGCTTTGCTCTGATCACCTCCTTTCTTTTTTCCTGCTTTCTTTGCCTCCTTCCTGGCTTTCCTCTCCATTTCTATTTCTTCTCTTGACTTCTCTGCACCAGGGTGCTCTTCAGTACCTTTACCTTTTGATGATGATGTTTCAGAAGCAGGTTTTGCGACTGGAGATACCTTAGTAGCTGTATTCTGATTTTGCTGAGGGACACTAACAGGCTTGGTTCCACCAGAAGACATCTCTTTACCTCCATGTTGCAAGACTATATTTTCCAGCAACTGGCAAAGACTAGCAAGCTTTTGGTCAGACATCTTTCCCTGTTTATTCTCACTACTTGATGGACAAGTGGTAGAAAAATTAGCTTGTCTTGGCTCTGTTCTCTCAGCACTTTTCTCTAATACCTGCTTTGTTGAAGCAGTTGCATCTGCAACTACTGATGCTGCCAATGGTGAGGATTGGGGGACCTGTGCATTGATGGTTGGCGAGGAAGAAGGTTGCCCTTTTGCTCGCCCTGGTGTGCCTGGTCT